ATCTGAGAGAATTTATTGTTTGGGAAAGAAATACAATATGGAGAGATATCATTGGACTGGAAAGAAAGAGTCATGCTGTTAATATTAAAGCACCAGGGGATATAATTAAAACACCACCTGAAATATCAACACCTTTTGGAAATTTGACTATAAATGATATATTTTGTAAAAATATGACTATACTGATAATGTGCATTGTAATTTTTCTTCTATTGCTAAATTTGCCAATTTTTAAACATGAGGAACAAAGGAACTGTTTTGCATTATTGGTATTTGCAAGTCTTTTGTGGTCTACGGAGGTTATGCCACTTTTTGTAACATCACTGCTAATTCCATTATTGGTGGTATGTTTACGTGTTCTACGTTCTGATGATGGGACACGTCTTGATGCACATTCAGCAACCAAACAAATCTTTGCAGCGATGTTTTCGCCAGTGATAATGTTACTTTTAGGTGGATTTGCTATAGCAGGAGCATTGAGCAAATACCATATAGCAAAAATGATGGCAACATTGGTTTTATCAAAAGCTGGTACAAAACCCAGTTCTGTATTGTTGGCTAATATGTTTGTTGCAACATTTGCCAGTATGTGGATAAGTAATGTTGCAGCACCTGTTTTGTGCTTTTCATTGATACAACCTATTCTTAGAAATCTATCATCAAATGTATCATTTGGGCGTTGTTTGATTATTGGTATTGCATTAGCATCAAATGTAGGTGGTATGGCATCACCCATATCATCTCCTCAAAACATAATAGCAATTGAAAACATGCATCCTTCACCAACATGGATTCAATGGTTTGTTGTGGCAATACCCTTGTGCATAATTATAGATATTTTGATATGGGTCTTGCTTCTTTGGAATTATGAGCCAACAAAAAGTCTAAGGATCCTTCCAATAAGAACCTCCAGAGACCCACTAACAGGATCACAAATCTATGTGATACTAGTTACCATTATAACGATTGTTTTATGGTGTATTGAAAAGAAGTTGGAATTTTTTTTGGGTGATATGGGGATTATAGCAATAGTTCCATTGGTTTTATTTTTTGGAACAGGGATTTTGACCAAAGAAGACTTCAATAATTTCTTGTGGACAGTGATTATACTTGCTATGGGTGGTATTGCACTTGGAAAGGCAGTGTATAGTTCAGGATTATTACACTTTATAGCTAAAAATATTCAGGCTATGGTTAATGGTTTTGGAGTTTGGCAAGTTTTAGTAGTTTTCTCCATCCTGGTACTTGTCTTTTCAACATTTATCAGTCACACTGTTGCTGCTCTTATCATTTTACCTATTGTTGCAGAAGTTGGTCGTCGATTAAGTGATTCACATCCAAATTTATTAGTAATGGTAATTATATTATTTTTTTTTAAAAAAATAATTTTACAATAATAATAATAACATCCTTTTATTACATTTAAACAGGGTTCGGCATTAACATGCTCATTATCAATGGGATTACCAGTATCAGGGTTTCCTAATATGAATGCGATTATGATGGAAGATGATATGGGTGTTCGATACTTGACTACATATGATTTCCTAAAATCTGGTGTACCAGGCTCTGTAATTGGATTATTTTCAGTAATCACAATTGGTTATGTATTGATGGTTTCTATAGGATTTTAAATGAAATGAAAAAATATTATATATAGAAATATAAATATATAGATACTATATTTAATAAATTTATTTTTGTTAATATTATATATATATATATATGCACACACATTCACATTTACATTTTACATTTTTACATTTATTTTACATTATATTTACATTTACATTTACGTTTACATTTATTTACACTTACATTATATTTATTTAATAATTAATTTATTTATTTAATAATTAATTCATTTATATTTAGTAATATATTAATTAGTTTTAGCAAATGAAAATGATCGTATAATAATTGAATATTGAGTCACATGATACGACAGTCGTGTGTCCGCGTGAACATAACGCCGTATTTATTTATTTTTAAAATTCAACAAAGTCAAAAGGTCAAAATGAAAGAATAAGCTCAGCTTGAGTTTATATTTATTCAATCTTCCCTCATCCCTCTCTACCTCTGCGTAGTACCACCAGTAATTATGACGTTTACGTGTAACATTGTTCCTTGATTGAATGCTTTTTTTAAAAAAAATTGTTTTCACCACCTTTGCCACCAGAACTTTAATCGAAATATTGAAAATACGTAGAGGATAATGATTATAAAACATTGTATTCTTGCATTCTAATCAATAAAAATTTGGCACAATACCATCATCACATCTAAATGGAGAAATCCATTACATTCTGTCAATAGCAGCAAAACAATCAAATTGTTTATTACAGAAGATAAGGATTAATTGAGATTTAAATTATTGGAAAAACAACCACCAATGTACAATTATGCTAAATTTGCTACTGAATTAGATTTATCATATTTGTTAAATAACATTGATCATTTGGTAATAACTAACAAAGCCTGTTGTCTAGAAGAGAGATTAGCGAATTTTATTTTAGAACAGTAGAAAACTTAAAATAGCTGATAAAAAATTGCGAATGGTAAATTTCTTGATAAATTTGCAAAAATATTCAGCATTTGAAATATATAAACGTACTTTACTTGATGATTATTATGTGGTTCTTGATAAGCAACAACAGCATGTTTCATGTGAATTTAGTTTAGCTGAATTAATTAAAACACAAAAACAGATTAAAAAACTAGTTGTTGAGTCATGAAAAAATATAATTTTGTCAGAAACCCGGCATCAAAACATTCAGAGTCAATAATTGATTATGAAAGTTATGGGGGAAATGAGTTATATTGCCTAATACGAACTTTTCAAAAACTTGGAAACATTAAAATTAACCGTTTATGATGATCATAGTGATGATGATGTGTATATAATCAGGCTATTGATTTACAATCTTACCTCCAAACATTCAAGAATTTTATTTGAATGTTTATTGCTGGCCATTTTTATTAGACTTGGCTATCCATTAAAATCAATGGAGAAAACCTTAGGAAATTAAAAATTTGTAATGGATGAATAATATTTGGGAGCATTGATGCAATCAATTAGGCAATATTGTTTTACAAGAATGGATTGGGTACACAATTAATTGAATTGTTTGATAATTGTATCAATTTAAAAAAGTCATGGATTTATCAAGTCATTTAGAGATGAGACAATAGATGGAAATAAAGTGTTTGCAATATTAAATCAATATTCACCAAGAAAATTAAATGCCATACATTTGAAAGGTGAGTTTGTTATTACTAATTATAATAATTGGAAAGGACCCAGACCTTTTAATCTAATATTTACTAGATTTATTAAGTAAATATCGAGATCTGGAATTTTTAAATTGTGAAATTCTAATAAAATATATAAATAATTATAAAGTTATCAGTTTTAATTGTGAGGAACGATTTTATTGCATTATCTTTTCTTAAAAATATGTATGTTGTCAATACACTCCTTCTTTCCTTCTTTTTTTTTCTTATTTGTTATTTTAATTAAACACGAAAACACAGGTATTTTTGTCATTTGTCAATTATTTTTTTTGTGCATGTTTGTTTACTTGTCGTTCGTTCGCTCTTTCTTTGTTTTTCCTCTCCTATTACTATCATGTCTTTATTTCGAGTTGTCACAGGACTTATAAATAATAGTAACAATAAACAAAATTTTAAAAAACAAAAATCTAATCGTCGTGTGTATGTGCATGCATTCACTCATTCATTCATTAATTAATATGTTTATCCACACAAATAAAATCTAGTTTTTTTTTTAAATAGAAGTGAACGAAATCACAATAATAAATTTAAAAATAGTTTACATCCGAGTAATCCCGGCATATATTGTATGAATTTGTTTATGGTTAATTGAGAAGCAAAACCATTTTTCTAACTGGAGACGGAATTTCGTTAACTGTCTGTTAAAAAAAAAAAAAGAAAAAAAAGTGGTGTGTGAGAAGAATGTTTGGTTGTACATATAAATATAAATGTAATAATACTAATACAATTTAACAAATGCGGAATATATCAAAAAGATCTACAAGAAAATATTTTCCTTATTATTATTATTATAGTAATTTTGGTCAATTGTAAAAAAAAGTCATCATCATCATCGTATGATTTTAATAAAAGAGATATTTGTGAACAAAATTCAATAATTTCAAACGTCCCAAGTTTTTTTTTTTGGAATGGAGAAAAATTGAGAGATTATTATGACGAAACAAACGCAATAAAAAAGTTTAGCGAGAGAAAAGTAAAACCATCCACTTTTGTAGAAGTTTTTTATTGTTATATTAATCGTGTGGTAATATAAAAAATAAGTAAATAAATAAATATAATGCAACCCAGGTTAAATAAATTTCGGCAATTTACGGAGCTGTAAATAAAAGTCATGTAATCATTAGCTAGTAGTCGTTTTTTATCAATTAAAATTAAAATTAAACAATAATTTCTATTATTTATATTAATTATTATTTATTTTTAATCAAAAAAAAAAAAAAAATTTTTTTTTTATTGAGCCACTTTATTTTAAAAGTTATTTAAACTCTTGAAAAATTTTTTTTTTCAAGAAATTGTTTTTAAAAAAAATTGTTTGATTTTTTTTTTCATCATCATTTACTATATTACTATTCTCCTTATATATACTATACTATTCTCCCATTTTATATAATAAATCACCATCATCACATCATCATCAATCATCTGTTTATTTATATGTTTCGTAAAAATAGAATAAAAGTTAAAGAATTAACAACAACACCAACACTGATAGTAATAATACCAAGACGGCAAACACCGTCTTCATCTGATAATAATATCAAAGTATTAAAAGTTTATCCACACTCTCACAAAATCAACATTGACATCATCAAATTAATAACCCATTATATAAATTGTACAAAATTTTTTTGCTAAAAAATTATTCATAGCCAATACACACACACAACACACAAAATCTTTAAATTTTCTTCAAAAAAAAAAAAAAAATGTCCTCAATGATTATAAAAAAAAACAATTCTCTTTCTTCCGCTCCACCACTTAAAACCCTTGCACCACAGAAAAATATTTCTCAACTTGAAAATTTTGCTTTAAGTGCTTTGGCTCCTAGCATGGCTGTTATTTTTACTTTACCTTTTGACACTGTTAAAGTTAGGATGCAACTTCAAGGTGAAGTCAAATTTATGAAAGATTCTGCTGGTAAAACCGTTCGCGTTTCTGCTGACAAGGTAACTAACCGGCTGGCTGGCTGGCTAACTAATTAATTATATATATATAGTGATTATTCTAATGATTTATTATTTGTTATTAGGTTTATAAAAATAGTTTTGATTGTCTTTGGAAAACTTTTAAATATGAGGGAATTCGTGGTCTTGAAAAAGGTCTGGCCCCTTCGATCCTAAAAGAAAGTTCTAAAAATGTCTTTCGTTTGGTATGTACATCGATCGATCGATCGATCAATCAATTTATGTACATTTATATTCTAGTCTGTTAACTAACCACAAATATTCTTATATACATATAGGGACTTTATGATCCAATACTGACAATGATGCATCCAAGAGATAATGATGATGATAATAAATTAAATATTTCTACAGCTCCAGCTTGGAAAAGAATGTTTGCGGGTGGAATATGTGGTGCATTGGGCGCTGTGTCAGCAAATCCTTTTGAATTGGTGAAAACAAGACTGCAAAGTTCTGCTGCTGGCGAAATTGCTGTTGGTAATCAGTTCAAGTACACGTCGGTGACTTCTGCTCTAGGAAATATCGTTAGACGAGAAGGTGGTCTGCAAGGTCTTTATCGTGGATCCACTATTTCCATATACAGGGGAATATTAGGGAGTGCAGCAAATCTCTCTTCTTACACAATGCTAAAGGATTATTCAATTCGTGAAGGTTATAAAGATGGCGTGCCATTGGATATCGGATGTAGTCTTATCAGTGCTCTCATAAGTGTCGTATTCATGAACCCATTAGACGTTGTGTAAGCAATTAATTATTAACTTATTATAATGAGATTTATCATATAAATTTATTTACGTATGTATTAGTATACTAATGTAATCAATATTCCATAAATTATAGGAGAACAAGATTATATAATGCAAAATCAACAACATTATCCAACGAATCAATGATGTCATCAATTGCTAATATTGTAAAGAATGAGGGTTGGAGAGCTTTGTATCGTGGATTTGGTACACATTTCATGAGAATTGGACCACATTTCTGTCTCACTTTTGTATTTTTAGAAGAGTTGAAAAGAGGTGTAAAAAAAGTTCATCATAATGAGTACCAACGTAAATTACAACAATATCAACGTGAAGAATTATTCAGATCAAAAGCAGATCATCTTCAAGTATAACACTTGATAATAAATAACATTTAGAAAAAAACACTTTTTTAAACATTTATTATGATTTTTAATTATGATTTTTTTTTTTATTATTCTTATTATGACAAAAAAATTTTTTCTTGTAAATTTTTTAATTTTATAAAATAATCTTTACTATATCCATCTTTTACTACTTCACTAATTATTTCATTTAATTACTTCATTTAATTGTACAAAAAAATTTTCGACAACAAAAATTAGAATTTTTGTAATATGTGAATTTTTCTTAGAATTAATAATAATATAATAAGCTTTTAATTTGTAAATTATAATAAAGTTTTTTTTTTTTATTAAAAAAAAATTTTTTTTACCATCGTGTCACAACACGTTTCAAATTTTTTACCACGAAAAAAAAAATCAATCTAACCACATGCGTTAAAAAATATTCATCATCATACATTATTAGCCACAATAATCTGAGTAACCGAGTGGCTCGGGTAATATGGTAATATTAACTGTTTATGACTCATAACTGAACTGTTCATTATCATGTGGATGTAAAACTTTAACTTAAACCTTTACAGTTAGGGCTACACCATCACCAATACAAACATGATTAAATTAGTTTTTTTATACATACAATAATTTTATTATTAATATATCCAGCCGGTTTTTGCCGTAAGATTTAGAGATCCTTTCCTTTTTAAATACTGGTAAATACTTAACCTGGTTACATGGCCCGTGTAACAAATTTTCTTTATAAGATGATGATGATGATGATGATGATATGATGATGATGACGATGCTGACTAGCTGGTTTTGGATAATAATGAATCATATCTGGTGCGTTCTGGCAAATTTGATTTTAATAATTGGTACTAACAGATATTGGTTGAAACTACTATTTTTTATTTTATTTTAATATGGGAATTTCATTCATTGAATCGGAATAATGGTTTTTTATACTTGTACATATATATAACTATAAACAAATTGGTGAAAAATTAATGTGAAGGTTTATTGAAAACTTGCGACAGTTTTGCTCAAGCATTAATATTCTTTTGAAGGCGATTGATGATGCTTATGAAATGATAAATATTAGTAATTATATACAATAAATATGTATCATCACTTTTATTTTATTATAACTATAAACGCTGATTGCAAAAATATTGTCGTTACAAATATCATTTGGTCTCCTTTTGCTAAAAAGGACAATAAACTAATTATTTGATGATATAATACCTTTATATCTTGTTATAATATCTTTTTCATTACTAAATCTTTCTTCAAAGATAAATATTGGATATATCCCCAATAGATGTGTTATTGGATATATTCAAATTTAAAACATATTGCTACGACTCTACGGGAAATACTTAATCCACAAATTGTTTTTACAGTCTTGGAAGCAAGTAATTGAACTGATTGATAATGTGATTATATGTATATATTAATATAGTTTGTTATAATTAATAAATTCTTATTAATTAAATTAAGAACCCTGTTTTATTTATACACCTGTATGGTGTACAACAACCACCGTGTTATGTTTTCTTTAATAAAAACATTAAAAAATAATAATAATAAGATATTTTACCTTAAATAATAAATTTGATACATATATATTATTGTGTTTGTTTATATTCTTCTATAAAAATAAATAATTAAAATTATTCATTTATTTCCATATATTTTCAAAAATGATATAATATTTTTACTTTTGCTTCATTTGCAAAATTAATGAAACTTTTTTCCTTACAGCTTTTTTGAACCGTTGCTCAGAAATTTCTCTCGCTATTCGTCTGCATTTTATAGTTGGTTTTCATAATATCTATTTCTTCTTATCTCAACTCTTAATAACAAAATGTTTATTAGTTGGTATTAAAAAATACTTACAATATCAATGCGTTCTACAATGATCTCAACTTGAAATAGAATTAAATAGAAGAAGCCTTTGAGAAAATAATAATAGATATTAAGAAAACTGCCTATGATACTGTTAATAATAATTTTTTAATGAATATTAGAATGCATAGCAAATGATCTTATAAAAAACAGACGTTGTACTCGGAAACCTCGAACCATGAAAGCTCGACTTCAGACCATTTCACTAAAGATTCTTCTTGGTAAAGCAAAAATATATTTTTCTTACTATAACTCATTTACTCATCCATTCACATTAATTCATAGACTTTGAAATCTAACCAACAAATTTTTGATACTATAATAAAAGTCACAAAAGTATTCTTTATTTCATTTAAATCTTGGAATCATTTTCAATCGATAGTAATGATTTTTTAGATCATGAAATCAAGTAATGAATTTATCAGATGCGTAAAAGATTATGAAATGAATCGGAATTTATGACTATGAAAGAAGATGATGTGATAAATGATACTGTAGAAAAATTAAAAATAATAATAGTCGTTTTAAAATTCCATTTTTTTTATTCTGTTATATGAATGTGAATATACATAGATAGTGTAATTATAAGTTAGTAAATATGATTATTATTATGATCAAATCGTATAGTGTAATCAATATCAAATGCAAATTTTGTGATGAAAATGCACCTTTAAAGCCATTAAGCTATTGTCGATTAATAAATGTTTTACTTTTTGACAGTGAAAACAAATTTTTCTTTTAATATTTGGTAGGAGCGAATGGTTTATAAAGAACAATTTTATTTTAAAAGAAGCTTTATATATCAAATTATGTTTATCATGTATATTTTTACTTAAAGTTGGCATTCTTTTAACAATATTGCTTAAAAGGCCTTAATAAGTAGTTGAGAATATAAGCTTTCATATAAGTACAACTTTGTGTTGATTAGAAAAAATTAAAGATGTGTTCCAAGATTGTTATTATGAATAACCCTAATCACTTTTGAGTACCAAGAATTACAATTATTTACATACGATTACGGTAGATTGTATTTTCGAAGCCAACTATATATAGTAATAGTTCTTCTTAAGATGATATTACATCTTTTTAAGAATTCCCACTGTTTATGTACCATATTATTGCAATTGTCAAAAGTAATTACCAGCAATAATAATAATATTCTTCAATTTACGGCCAATTAAAAAAATTTTATTTTTATTGATCAAGATCCCTAATAAGCAAGCATGGAATTATTTCTGTAAATACCATATCCTGACTTCTCTAACACGACACAGATAATCATCACAATCATAAAATAATTATATGTATATTAAATTTAAGTTGTAAAATTCGTATATTTCCAAATTACTCGAAATCATAATTACCAGTACATTTTACATCAAATTTATAAAAATCTAATGTAATGCTGCTGTCGAACAATCTTTCATAAACATGAAAAGTTTTATTTGTTTTTTTCTTCCTTCCATGATTGTGAACATATCTCAATATCTCTCCTCAAACTTAAATTTTCTTGATTCATTTTAAATTTGCAGATCATTCAAGGAGCAAACCAATTTGTGCTTGCATGTATGACCAAGGTAACCTTTATCAACAGCCAGAACACACCTATATCGTGGTGTTTAAAAAGAAAATGCCAAAAGAATATTTTTGTTTTCCTTTAAAATTTATCACGTGTAAAATCATTGTTATACACATGTAAACTCGATAAGTCGGACATGGTGGGGAGGACTCATCTGTCCGACTTGTAATTTTTTTTTTATATATTATATATGTAATAAGTGATACAAACTCTTTATAAAAATGATATACTAAAAATATTATGAAATAACATATACAAAGAATTATTTTTTGTAAAAACTTTCCAAGGTAAGTTGTTTTAGAGAGGCATTTTATTTTCTTCTAATCTGATGCTGCAGGTTTTTCATTCCCGAGATTAATGAATTATTTATTTTTATATCTGCATTTTGCTGCAAATAATTAAATATATTTTGAATGCTATCCAACGCAACTGTATTTGATTATTGGATTACCTATATTTTCTCTCCTCTTCTTCTTCTGGTGTCTCTTGTACTGCAAGCAATTATATCTTCTTCGTCAACCACTTCAGCAATCGTTTTTCTTCTTTCAAAATTAGCAAGTGAAATAATAAATGATATAATCAATGATATATCCTATGATATAATTTATGAGTTAAAATATAATGTATTGTTTATGATACAAACGAGAATGTTCCTATTCTTTCTAAATAATCAAATGAGATAATAATTAGCAACATGATGACGAAAATGATGAAATTATTATTATTAATAGTAATTCTAATAATCAGCCCATACGGACGATTTCCAGGTAGGTCTGACCTTTATCCGTGTGTTCAGAGGGATACAAAGGTCAAATCTACCTGGAAATCGTCCGCATATGGTGCAGATAATTAAAAATAGTAATAGTAAGGACTATCTTTCGATATTTGAAAAAATCACGTGGACTGACTCATTTATTTATCGTGAATTTATATATGACGTCCGACTTATCAAATTTTTTTAAATATCGGAGAAAAATTTTGTCCGAGTTAGGTCAAATCCGACTTATCGCGTGTCCGACTTATCGAGTTTACATGTGTAAAGAGAAATTAATATGTATATAAAAATACTTTAACAGGTGCAAATTTTAAACTATTACAAACTAATGAAATTTAAACTTTATAAAAATTTATGTATTTTATAAAAATAAAAAATCTGGTTACAATGAATTATCTAAATAATTGTTTGATGCAATTACTTTTATTATTTGCTAATTTGACAAGCACATTGGATTTAATAAGGAAAAAGAAGTGTAATTTATGAGTATCAAGGCATCAATGGTTTATGAAGACATGGAATTCAAAAACATAAAAAGTATGGGTGGATAGATGTTATTAATATAAGATTAAGAACCATCATGTTGATTTTTATTACTATGTAAAACCCTAATAATCAAAGATCATTTACTATCACCATCTAGAACCATCATACTCATGAGCAATAATAAATCTTAATAATTTGCCAATATAAACAGCATTTGGATGAATTCATTTACCCATTTCATTAATTTGTGTTGAATTGATTTTGCTCTATCAACTTGTCTCCGAGAATTAATCAAATAACAAAATTTCGGTGTGTAGCTAATACAGATTTCTACAAATTTAGAAATTATCTACAAAAAATTACTATGTATGACTTGTTACACCCGCACATTCCGCACATTGAATTTTATACACTGATCAATCAATATCCATGCATTTGTAGTTCAATGGTGTGTTGAGGATCCAATTTATAAGATCTAAATCATGTGTCCATTATTAAATGATTTTTGTGTTGATATTGCCCAAGATCAATGTACCAAATATATATATATATCTTCTGGAATCAGATAAAATCACTTTGGATTGGATTATTAAAATTTATTCATGTCATGTGATTGATGGATGGCGATCGACAAAGACCACAAAGTTCAAATAAATAATATTCAAAGTTTCATCCCAAAAAAAAATTAATTTATTTATTTATTTTTTTCGATCGCTTTAAACAAATTGTTTGTTTATTATAATAAAGAGAAAACTTTTAAACTTTTGATACACAACCATGGTATTATACTAAAATTTTAATTTTAATTTTGTTTTCTTCAACTAAATAATTTTTTTAAATCTGTGCAGGATGAAGAATATGATGTCATTATACTTGGTACTGGCTTGACCGAATGTATTCTCTCTGGTATATTATCAGTTGAAGGAAAAAAAGTCCTTCATATGGATAGAAATGATTATTATGGAGGTGAAAGCGCTAGTTTAAATTTGAAACAAGTATATTATTATTTTATAATTATCAATACAATAATCATCAAATTTTTTAACAAATCATATATTATTATATTATTATAAAAAAAATTATTAATTTATTTATCAATATAAATATAGTTGTATCGTAAGTTCCGTCCTAATGAAGAACCACCAACAACATTAGGAAAAGATCGTGATTACAATATTGATCTCATTCCTAAATTTATGATGGCCAATGGTGAACTTGTCAAGATTCTTACTCACACCGATGTCACTCGTTATCTGGAATTCAAGCAAATTGCCGGCTCATATGTATATCGTGACGGGCAAATTTCCAAAGTACCTGCAAACGAAAGTGAAGCTATACGTAGTCCATTAATGGGTATATTTGAAAAAAGGAGAGCAAAAAAATTCTTTGAATTTATGCAAAATTGGCGTGATGATGATCCAAACACTCATCAAGGTACATAAATATTTGTTTATTTTATTTATTTTTTTGTTTGAACTTTTGATAATAATGTTTTCTATTTTGGAAATTAAGGTATTAATCTTGATACTGCGTTAATGTCTGATGTTTATAAACAATTTGGGCTTGAACCCGGTACTCAAGATTTCATCGGACATGCTATGGCTTTATATCTTGATGATTCGTATGTGTGCTAGATAAGAAGAATTTTTCAAGAAAATAATTTAATAAATATAAATAAATAAAAAAAACTGCAAATATTTACATATCTATATTTGTATTGTCAGATACCTTCAGCGTACTGCACGAGAAACTTATGAAAGAATCATTCTTTACTTTACTTCGGTTTCTCGTTATGGAAAGAGTCCTTATATCTATCCACTTTATGGTTTAGGTGAATTACCTCAAGGTTTTGCACGGTAGTTATTTAACTATTTATGAATGGTTATAAAAATTAATTATATTCTAATCTAATTTCTAATATTATTATTATTACTATTAGTTTGAGTGCTATTTATGGTGGTACATATATGTTGGACAAACCTGTTGATGAGATTGTTTATGATGGAGATGGTCGTGTTGTCGGTGTTAGTTCTGGTGGTGAGGTAATTGTTCGATTGATATAAGTAAACAGATGAATAAATGAAGCATCTAATCAATCAATTAATCAATCAATCAAATTAATAAAATAGGTTGCTAAGACAAAGCAAGTAATTGGTGATCCATCTTACTTCCCGGCTAAAGTTAGAAAGGTCGGCAAAGTAGTTCGTGCAATTTGTCTGCTTAAAGATTTTATACCAAATACTGAAAAGTCAGACTCGGTTCAATTGATTATTCCTCAAAATCAAGTTCAAAGAAAACACGGTATTTAATTTTCTTAGTTTAATTAATTATCTTCCGATAAAATACTATTTTTTTTTTTTTACTAATGGAAAATAATTATATAATAGACATTTATATCGCCAGTGTATCTTCAACTCATAATGTTTGTGCTCCTGATTATCAACTCGCTATTGTTTCTACCATTGTAGAAACCGATAGACCAGAAAATGAGATCAAACCCGGACTTGACTTACTTGGTCCAATTGTCGAAAAGTGAGTATTTATATATACATAAATTTTATTCATTCCTTTTTTTAAAAAAAACGGTATTATAATAATACAAATACTCTATTAGATTTATAAGTGTCTCGGATCTTGAAGAGCCAATCGATGATGGTACCAACGATAAAGTGTTCGTTTCTCGCTCTTATGATGCCACATCTCATTTTGCTACAGTTTGTGCTGATGTCAAAAACATTTACCGTCGTGTGACTGGCAAAGATCTCGAATTAAAACAACGACCAACTCAAGATGAAGAACAAAGAGGAATGTCCGAATCTTAAATAACATATTATATATGTGTGTATTATGTGTGTATTTATGTGGGCGGGTATATAAATAAATTAATTAAAATTATATATATTTAAAAAATTTTAATTAGAAATTAAAATAAATTACTTGGGAAAAAATAAACAAAAATCCATCATTATTATCCTTAAACGAAATTCCATGCTAGTCAGCACGGAATTTTGAATCATAATAGACCTTTCCCGCTATGCCACTCACAACCTTTCTTATTTAGAAAATGATGTTTAAATACTTTGCTTCATAATATGTGTAAATCATAAAAGTTCCCTTTCTTTGCCGATTATTTTATTTATTTGGTTACTCGCCATTTAAATGTACATAAAAATTCATAGCTTTATTTCTTCGCATATCTTGCAGGTTCAAAAATAAAATATGAAACTCGTTTACATTAGATCTACCACGGAACCTAAGAATTATAGTACCATCAGAAGTATTTTTAAAAAGGAACAAAGTGAAAAAATAAATGATACTCGACACTGGGAGCTTATCTAAGAAAAGATTACCTATGAAATTTACTATAAATGTTAGAAAAAGAAAGCAGAATGAAGATGTGCTATTTACCCAACAAAAAGCAAAAATCCTTGGAAGGAAAATAATCTTGTTATTAATATTAAATATTGATTTTTTTTTACTGAATATTACTACAAATGTAATTAATGATCATCATATTGCTAATGATTGCTGTCTGTAAATATCTACAACTTTACAGAATAAGAGTCATCATATTACAGAACGCTTAAAGTCATCTACAGACAGCATCTATACATATTGCATTGCTTATCAATAAAAAAAATATTCAAAAGAAATCGAAAATCTATAGAAGGATTTCAAGCAATTATTTGACAGAAAGACTGGGTTGAATCCTGATTTTTCATTTGGTGAAATGGCCATGGAAATTTGTGATTATTTGGTGAGAAAGAAGTTACTTGCCTTTATTATTAAATATTTCAACGAAAAACAAATCCTAGAAGGAAATCACTAGAAGCAATTCAGTAATGGGCCAACAAAGAAAGGAGAAAAAGGTGGAGAGTAAAATCGATGAAGATAATGAAAACAAAGATACAAATATGATTGACTCGGTCTAAAGATCTCATATTGCTGCGCTACGCGCTCAAATTTCAAATAAAATTGTAATAATGGTTGAAAACTAGTCTAAATTTAGCGATGATCATAGCTCTAAACTCCTCACGAGCATAGTAAAGTCCATGTTTTAAAAAAGAATAGAACTCACAACAAATAATTTTTTTGAGAAAATCTCTCTATTACATTAAAGTTAAAGACTTATTCCATCAACTAATAGAGCTATTCTTTTAAAAGGTAGGACAGAAAATGACTTTTATGCTTTTAAAATTTGCACAAAGTTTAGGAGGCCTTTAGACTGAGCCAACTATATTACTATTACTATGAAAAATAACGTACGGAATTTCCATTCACATTCCGTACATATTATAATTAATAAAGAAAAAAAAATCTCAATTACGTAAATAATTTCCTTCGAATTCACCAAATGCTTAGATATCAATAACAAACAATATTATTATTATTTTCTTTCGTTTATTTGTTAAATGTTTTTTTAAGATACGAATTATATGGCCTATAAATAAATAAAACTCCGTTTATATTTAGAGCAAAAGATGATTTATGATTTTGATGTACATGCATCAATACAGCAATGGTAGTATATCTTGATGATTCATGAATTACCAAAGAAATACAAAGTTACTTTACATGAACAAGAAATAACCTATTAAAATTCATGTCAATATTAATGTAGCGCGTGAATTTGTAATTTAAATTTAACACGGAAAGAACAAAAAAACGCGAATTAGCCAATCATAATTTGTAATAATAAATTTCAAATTAATAAAAGTCTGGTGTGCGTTCATGTGATTCCAGTGAACCCTTTCTTATTGTTATTATCATATTAAAGAAAGATCACTTTTTAAAATCCCAAATTACTGTGAATAATTTTCTTCGAATTCACCAAATGCTTAGATAGCAATAACAATATTATCAATTATGGCTATTACCTAATTATTAATTAATTAACACAAGTAAGAAACGAAAACATTTGCCGTGTCACGACCATCAGTAAGGCGAGTGACCGTCGATTGTCTCTTTTTGCGTTTAGCCGCGCTTGGTTTTTTCGGCTTTTGGCGCGATCAACGTTTTCACCATATTAATCTTTAGCAAAAATTGTGTCGTACGGCAAATGTTTCGTTTCTTAATAGATTCAATTGCAATGCTTTGCAAGGTGAGGAGAGGCATGATCAATGAATCAGCAAAATTCTATGTTTTTTAACCTAATTTTTTGGGAAGGAATTTTTTGTTTTCACTGGGTGGTACATTCATTTTGCAAAGCTAGATTGCAAGCTTTGTAAATCTTGACTTTAACATTTACTTCGCCTATATAATTATTGAATAATTGATAAAAATTTGTTTTGCAAACTTCATAGATCTTGTCTAACACTTACTTCAAACAAACCCGCCTATATGATTATTTAGTAATTGATAAAGTCTTCTTCATTAAATATATTTTACAAACAACTTCATAGATATTGACTATAACATTTATTTCAATCACTCCTATACAAAAAATTGAATAATTGATAAAACGTTCATTTGCAAAACTTGATTTGCAAACTTCTTAGATCTTGTATTTAACATTTACTTTGATTGCGCATATACAAACTATTGAATAATTAATAAATGTTCATCAGTATATTTTACAAACTTGTCATACATCTTGTATTTAACGGTTACTTCCACAAACTCACAACCTACCTTCAATTCTACTTTTTTTCTATTGAATTATTTTGAATTTTTATTTTTAGATTACGCAGGATTACACAATAAAAATTATGGAATAGAATTTGTCCAATGAAATGTTGTAAACTGTATAAATCCCATGCACAACTTGAAAAAAGTTGGTATATAAGACTCATTTTTCCATTACTATTACTAGTACTCATCTCGGGTACAACCATGTGACTCACTTAAATGTGTTATTAAAGTCCAGCAAGATAGTGAAACTCTTGCTGGTGGCTCATGCTGGGTGTATTGACCTTTCGTGACATGACCTCTCCTCTTTTGTTAATTTTATTGTTTATTTTAGATAAAATTCATTAATTGGTTACATTTGTAATATATGGATGATCCATCAATTATGAGGAAGCGTTATTATTATTATTGATAATAAAGACTAAGATCAGATTTTGTTACATGATTGATAACACAGCAAAAGCTCACATTGCGTTCTCAGTTGTGAGCTTGTTTCACATGTGAAATTACACTCTCTGTGACATGTCCCACGACTGATAAATGCATACAAGCCACTGTCATTTTGATTTTTTTTATTAAATATTATTATGAATTTCACAAGTGCAGTGTCTCTTTGAAACGAATGATTTATAAAGAAAAAAGTAAAGATGGTCAAACTATGTTGTTGGCAAACGAAAATCGTTGGATAAAATGTGTAGGAGGGGTGAAAATTGTTGTAGCATACTACCTATCTTTATGGTGTTAATTTTTATATTATTTACTATATTAAATTTTTTTTTAACCACAGCCATGTTGCTGGTCCAGTAAAGCAACTGACGTGGGAGTTAAGGAAAAGATCTAGAGTAAAACTAGCAGAATATACACCAAATTTGAAGAGTTATTTAGTAAACCTCAACGGTTTTGGTGCTCCGGACATGTACCAGACCATGATGTTAACACTGCCGAAATGCAAGGAACATATTTTTATACATGGATGAGAAAGGCCTGAAGTCTTTGTCAGGAAGGAGGGAACTTAAATTGGCCACTGCTACATGTAACTGTGGCTGGAAAATCTGGCAGGTTTTCTTTTAAAGTATTAGTACAGTGCGGATCATCTATACTCAAAAGTTAAAATTTTTGAAATATTATGTGATCCACACATTGGATTTTAAAAAAC